GGAATGGCCGTATGATATGAACAGTGAAAGAGAGCCCTAAGGGACCCCCTAACTGAATTGAGGACTCCTTATTAATTATCAAACATCAAGATGTAGCATGCAGGAAACAACAAGGTCACAGATTTTTGAGACGGCAGACAGATGAGGACTGACTGCCAGGGAGTGGTAAACCCTGCAGGACACCCTTGGCCGGTAAATCAAGTCATGTCCAGTTAAAGAAACATCAACTCTGACAAAACTATTTGACTCTTTGTATAATACAAGATCTGGTACCAATTCTTCTCTATGCTAAGCCATTGAACTCCTGCTCTTTTCTTTTCTCGCTGTCTATAACCCAGTCTTCTCAGTTCGCTGTCCTTACTAACTAAACAATAACATGCCTCTGGCAGTGTTTACCATTGAGTAATAGATGATAGAGTACACTTGGCTACTTCTCTCAACAGGCACAGCTTATAGCCCTAGTTGGTATATGGCACAAACACACACCAGGTGAAGAAACTAGACATAGTCTCTAGTTGGCAAAGCATTGAAAAGTTGTTAATATTATTCATTGCTTAATTATATAATACCAGATGTGCACTGGGGCTAAGTACAGACATTAAAAAAAGCCCAAGACAGAATTGATCCAATCTATGCAATTTTCTTTAAAAAGCATAGATTGGATTGGGAATGAAGGGACCATACATTGGCCCTTCAGTGGGGGTAGGCAGGCAGATGCCTGAACTGGCATCAGCCAGAAGGCAGGGGGTCTTCCCACATGCTTCCTAGCATGCCAGAAATTTCCAAGGGCAGCTGAGCACAGCTGAGTGGGGGCCATCCCTGACTGGCTGCCAGCGCTAGGGATAGGGGGTGGGTGAATGGAGCACCCCTCCAATCATGCACCCCCTCCTCCGCAGATTGCTTGCTCAAGTCTGGGGGCTGGGGCAAGTCCATGCAATGGGGGCTCTGGTTCCCCTGCAGCTATGCGGTAGGGCTGTGCAAAGCTTTCATCCCTGATTCGATTCGGTGGAGATTCGCCCTGATTCAGTGGCCAAATCTCTGAATCCGAATTGAATCAGGAGACCCTTTAATCAGAAAGATTTGGAGATTCAGACATAGACACAGCTTTAAATGTTTTCTCTACATACATCATGGTAGCAGGTGGCCCACGAATACTGTGATGCTGGGGTGGATGGAGCATCCTACGGGAGTGCGGGGGGCTTCCCAGAATGCTTCCCAGCAGTCTCGGAAGTGGACCAGAAGCACTTCCAGTCCACTTCTGGGTCCACCAGGGAGTGCGCAGGGGGTGATCCCCCTGCCCTCCTGGCTCAGTGACTGGTGCCTCCTGGGTCTGGGGGGGGCACCCAGGGTCCCCCCCCATGGCCGACTGCCGAGCTGGTGGGGTTCAGTGGAATCCCCCAGCGTGGTCCCTGGCAAACCCAGAATAACTTTAGGTCTACTTCCAGTTCACTGCCGAGCACGTGACCCCCCCCCAATGCTCCTGTGGGATGCTCCATCTGCCCCACCATCTGCAGCCCTTACCCAGCACCAGGAAGATTGGTGCTGCCACTGGCCCCAGCTGGCAGCAGCATCCTGTCATCTGGCAGGCAGATCGGGGACCAGCCCATGTGCCTGGGAGGCCTGTGGGGGCTGTGCCAGACTCCTCCTGGGGGTGTAGGCCCCTGATCTGCCTGCTGGATCACAGGAGGCTGCTCCTGCTTTCTGGCTCCTGCTTATCAACAACTTGAGGTACAATTTTCCAGAAACCTCTGCACCAATGTCCTTGAAATTTGGAAGACTTCATGGCCTCAGAAGGGGCTACCATCCCTGCAAGTTTCATCTGAATCAGGCCAGAATGACAAAGTTATAGGCAGTTTTGTGCCCTATTATAGCCTGTGGGTGAAACATCAAAACAGCATCGAAACAGTGAAACAGTTTTGACAAAACAAAATGGAACAGTGCTTTCAAAACAAAATGAAACTTGAAACAAAACACTGTTCCGTCGGAACAGAAGTCGAAGCGGAATGGTGCTGTTTCGCACAGACCTAATATGTATGTGTATATATATGTATGCATGCATATATGCTTTTTTCTCATGTACAGAAGTGTACTTTTTTTTAATTCTATTGCATACTGAAGCAGACTAAGGTGATTTCCTCAATATAACCAGCTTTGCATAATTTATGGAGGTTATCACAATGTAATGAAGGTTAATGTATTAGTATTAACATTTACTATTTGGTATTCTTCAACCTATCTCTGTATATTTTAGTTGGGACTCACATAGCCATTTCAGTCAATTATTGCAAATATTTCACCTATTGTGTTTTGGGGGTATTTTTTTTCCCCCAGAAGAATTGCAGAACAAGAGTGTGCTTTGATCTGAGCAAAGGCTTATTAAGACAAATTTATTCAAAAAGGTAGAATGGTCAATGTCAATAAGACCTTGGGTTCCCAATGGAGGCCCATAAGGGCATTCATAGATTATGTGGTCAGCCCTCTGAGCTTGAGCACCACAGCTGTAGCCAGCATTGTTGAAGAGGCCCCAAGAGTGAATGTTTGCCTTACACTGTTCAACGCCTATTCTAAGATGGTTAAGAACAGTCCAGGCCCTGCAGGGCAGCTGGCATCCTGTGGGGAGGAAGCTGGCGTTGGGGATAAAGTTCTTTAGCCGCAGTTTTTGTGGAGTGTATTTCCTGTTCCACCTGCTCCTCTGTATGTGACATGCCATCTGCAGATCCACCCCACGTTCAAATTTTTGTAGATCCTATTTTACAGAAATGCAATAGCAACAGCTGCACTTGGCAAAACTGTCCAAAATCATTAAGGACATAATATGTGCATCAAAATTAGGACAGGTTGTGAACACATTGAAGGACAGGGTAGAATTCAAACAGGACCCGATAAACTGGAAACCTGGGTATAGGCGACACAATGAAATTTAAAAAACAAATGTAGATTACTACACTCAGGGAACAAAAACCAAATGCACCAATATCAAATGGGAGATGATTGGGAGGTAGTAGCATTGCTGAGAAGAATCTGGGGGTTTTGATGGATCACAAACATAACACGAGCCAGCAATGTGATGCAGTCACAAAAAAAAGCAAACTGAATTCTGAGTTGCAGTAAGAGAAGCATTAATTTAAAGATTTGAAGTGATAGTACTATACTCTTCAGTACTAGGCCTCAGCTAGAATATTGTGGGCAGTTCTGGGCACCACACTGTAGGAAGGATGTAGAAAAATTGGAGAGCAACAGCAATGGCAACCAACCAAGACGATAAAGGGGATGGAATGCAGTCCTCACAAGAAAAGTTTTATGTTGGCAAAAATGAGATTAAGGGGCACATGATAGGTGTCTTCATATAGTTGAAAGACTGTCATAAAGAACAGGGAGAATAACTAATCTTAAAAGAGGAACACCAGATACTTTCTCTTGCAGTAATCATCTGTATCTGTTGACTGATTTGTACCTGTAGGTTAATCCTCTTCTTATTTCTTCCTTTTCAAACAGCTTGCCGTAATCTGCAAACCCTGGCACCTTGCACTATCTCACCACTGAGCTTGAATCTATTCTCTGTCCTCAATTCTGTGATTATATTGTGAATCTTGCAATATCTGGTATTTTGCCTTAAGAAATAGTTCTTAGCCTTTTGCTGTTATATGAGAATCTCAGTTTTTGTTAGCCCAAGTAGCTATAGAGAAACATGCCTTGTTTAACCTAAAGGTGGAAAAGAAAGAAGGCAAACAAAGTGCCTAAAATGTTTTTTTTTTTTCTTAAAGACAAGGCTTATTGATCAACAACATGATTTTTTGTGGCCTGATAAATGGAGTTTCTAGTGCTTCGTTTTACCCATCTGATATCACAAAACTAAAAACTATGAAGCACCCTTCTTTATTTGGGTTCTGCCACTGAAACTGATGTTCTTCAAGATCCCACCCAATCTGAAATACTCTGTTCTAACCCCCACCACCTATAAGGCAAAGAGAACCAGCAGGAAGATTTATTTTCCTCATGCTTTAATTGCCCAGGTCTTATTCCATGCTGATGTAGTGTACTTGTTTTTTTCACAGG